TCCTGAAAGCAGGACGCCCGGTGGCAGTGGGGAGCGCTCACAGAGGTCCAGGTAAAGAACTGGGTAGGGGCTGGCGCCGCAGCTCACTAGGCTAATCCTCCGCCTTACGGCGCCGGCACACCGGGTTCTAGTCCCGGTCGGGGCATCGGATTCTGTCCCGGTTGCCCCTCTTCCAGGCCAGCTCTCTGCTGTGTCCCAGGAGTGCAGTGGAGGATGGCCCAAGTCCTTGGGCCCTGCACCCCATGGGAGACCAGGATAAGTACCTGGCTCCTGCCATCGGATCAGCGCAGTGTGCCAGCCGCAGCGCACTGACCGCGGCGGCCATTGGAGGGTGAACCAACAGCAAAGGAAGACCTTTCTCTGTCTCTCTCTCTCACTGTCCACTCTGCCTGTCAAAAAAAAAAAAAAAAGAACTGGGTAGGGATCCTGATTCCCAAGATTAGGACAGAGAAAGACGGGAGCTGGGACGTCCTATTCTGGAAAGCAAAGGAAGTGCTCCCAGCTTGACAGACACGCCAGGAGGACTGACCGACTTGGGATACGTCAGCCTCAGAAACCGCACGTGCTGGCGGAGACCTGCTCATGGGGGCTCCCCGTCCCGTCAGAAGCCGGCCAGAGCTGGGTCTCAGGACATCCACTCTGCTCAGGTCGGCCCTGGCTCATCCGCTGGTTTTGTTTTGGGGGTTCTCTTTGAAGAAGCCCCAGCGCCACAGCTCTGGGTTCTGAATAGCGTCTGGGTGGTCTGTCCTGACCTCTGTGCCCACCTTGAACTGCAGGGCTGCAGGAGGGAGTCTCCGTGGTTCAGAGCCCTCCCTCCCTCCCCACGGATTCTCGCTGAATTGCTAATCCTTCTCACCAGGCGTGGTCACTGGCCCACGAACAGGGCAACAACTGGTGTCGGTCAGGCCCTTTCTAACTCCAGGAGAGAGATGATTCGGCTCTCTGGCTTCACGGTTCAGCTCTTAGAACAATGCACGTTGTTCCTAAGGTTTTGGTACTTGGGTCCAACACGGCTTGGCTGGCCCTTAATGCTAGCCTGTCATTTCCCAAAGAACAACTCAGGAGTTCTGTAAATCGCACGGGGGTATTTGCAACAGACAGGCTACCCTTTCTCAGCTCCTGGGCTCCGCATGACACACCTGCATCACAAGAAGACCCACGGGGTGTTGTAGTCCCATTCGGAACACTTACAACTGCAGGGCTGTTTTTATTTATTTATTTACTTTCAGCTGAACAAAAGAGAGAGAGGCTGGTTACAGTCTCTGCTGGGATCTTCCTTCCTCAGAGAGGGAGAGTCTCCGTTCCCAGGAAAGCCGATGGCTGACGCTGCCCTGTCCCCAGGCGATGAGAAAACCACCGCAGAGCTCAGTCCCTCTCTGGGAGGCCGCCGCAGAGCAAACCCAGCTTATGTTGGCAACTGCTAGAAAAAGACCTCATGTTTGTCTGCGTATCCATCCGGGTTTGGAAGGCACATGGGGAGCGGGGAGACGGGGAGGAGGGCGCGCGAGGGCTGCTGGGGTTACGACGTGGGATTAGGAGCCTCTCTGACCCTGACGTTCTGGGTAAATGCACACAGCTATGCCATGGTTCTTCTGGACAGACGTGGGATTTGCATGTGTGACACGAGCATACCAAAGGCCACCTGCAAGTGCAGAACTACACATGTTCTCCAGCATATTCAACAAGTGCTTGGTTTTTCTAGCTTTGGAGCATGTTGTAATCATCTGGGGTTTTAAAAAAAAATTAGTGGTGCCTGGACCCCATCCTCAGAGATTCTGCTTTACTTTACTTAGCATATGGGACTCAGGCAGACGAGAACAATGGTCCCCTCAAAGATGTCCACGTCCCGGTCCCTGGAGCCTGTGAATGTGGGAGGTTACATGGCGAAGGGGTGTTAAGGGTATAGACGGAACTATGGTTGCTAATCAGCTGACCTGGAAGAGATTAGCCTGGGTGGGCCCTATGCAGTCTCAAGGGTCCCTAAGGGTGGACGAGGGAGGCAGCAGCGATGCACATGAGGCCAACTCGATCCATCGACAGTGTTTGGCTTTGAGGATGCAGGGTGGGGCCGCGAGCAGCCAGAAGTGGCAAAGCAGTGAATGCGGCTCCCCCATCCTTGGTTTTAGCCCAGTGAGGCCCATGTCAGATGCCCGCCTCACTGAAATGCCAAATGTTAACTCTCTGTTGTATTAAGCCAGCCACTACAACTATGGTCATTTTTTATATATAGCAGCCTAAAAAAATAACATGGGTGCAGCCAGGGCTTTGGGAGTTTTATAAAGCTCCCCGGGTGGTTCTAATATACTGAGAAAGATGACATCCACGAAGCTAGCAGAAAGGCTGGATAAAGAGACACAATGACGTGCTGCTCATGTGGCCAAGCATTGGGTGATCTCAGACCACCACGGGATGAGGCACCATCAATTCTGAGCCATGCCCCACCCCCCCACACCCACCCACACAGCATGACCTACCTAGGCATATCACAGGACGGCTTCCTGCTCCATCATGCTGGGGGCCAGATTCTGAGCTGGCCTGATCCACTCAACAAGTTACATCCCCTAGTGATAAGGAATGATTTTACACCCGATAGGCAGATTTTCTACAAAGTTTAACCAGCAGTGTCTTTTCAAGGAAGGAACTATCCTGTGCCGCTACATGAACTGGACCCTTTGTATTGGTGGCATCAGAAGGGCCCAATTGTGCCCTCTGTGCTCAAACTATTAGAAAGCACTATTAGGATTGTAAAGAGAGAGGCGTCTCCACTTTAGTAATCTGTGTATTAGTGATGGATCATGGACCGCACTTACTCATGGTAAATCAGTGGAATACGAGGGAACCAAAGAACGCATTCCTTGGAGGAAGGCAGCACCTGTCACTCAGTTTACCCAGGAGTGAGCACCCGTCCATCCCCGGGCCATCAACGCTCGCCCAGCCACGGTGACAAGTTTTCTGTACTGTTACCCAAAGCTAAAACCTTACAGCCTTTTGCTATTCCCCCACCACCCGCCCACCCACTCAACTTACAGTCTCTTTTTTCCCCTCTCGTGTTGCTTAGGGAGGAAGCTGCAGTAAGAGGAAAAGCAGTCACGTTAGAAACAGAAGACCCCAGTTCGGATCTCAGCTTCGTCACTCACAGACGCACGTGGCATCAGCGGCCACCCTGAGCACGGTCTCTGACACATGACCAGGACGTCGCCTTGGTGATACTGTACAGGGGGCGAAATGGAGCGACGTGGAAAAAGGTGCCGAGCATACAGCTCACGAGACGCCAGCATCCCCGAAACGCGCCTGCTCCCGGGCTGTCACCCAGCACCCAGTGCTAAAGCTTCTCCCGGCTCTTCTCTGGTCCTCGACCTCCGACGGCTGACTCAACACTTCCTCTCCCATCTCTGTTGGACTTAGGCTCTTCACGCTGACTGGTGCCCTGGTAATTTCCCCAACCTACCCCTAACAGTTAAAGCACTGTCAGTCCCTTGAGCCCATCCTTTCTTCTCCATTCCTACTTTTTTTTTTTTTTTTTTTTTCTGACAGGCAGAGTGAACAGTGAGAGAGACAGAAAGGTCTTCCTTTTCCGTTGGTTCACCCTCCAATGGCCGCTGTGGCCAGTGCACAGAGTGGGTCTAAAGCCAGGAGCCAGGTGCTTCTCCTGGTCTCCCATGCAGGTGTAGGGCCCAAGGACCTGGGCCATCCTCCACTGCACTCCCCGGGCCACAGCAGAGAACTGGCCTGGAAGAGGGGCAACCAGGACAGAATCCGGCGTCCCGACCGGGACTAGAACCTGGGGTGCCGGTGCCACAGGCGGAGGATTAGCCTAGCGAGCCGCAGCGCCGGCCGTTCCTGCTCTTGTTTAGGCTCTTGTCCCCTTCATACCACACACCTCAAGCGCAAGGTCCTTCCAAGGGGTCTCCACATCTTATTTATCGTTTAAAAAGCAGAGAGATGGGGCTGGCGCTGTGGCGTACCTGGTAAAGCCACTGCCTGTGGCGCCGGCATCCCACATGGGTACTGGCTCGAGTCTTGGCTGCTCCCCTTCCAATCCAGCTCTCTGCTAATGTGCCTAGGACAGCAGTGGAAGATGGCCCAAGTCCAGGGGCCTCTGCACTCATGTGGGAGACCAGGAAGAAGCTCCTGGTTTCTGACCAGCCTCACTCTAGACATTGTGGCCATTTGGGGAGTGAACCAGCAGATAGAAGATCTCTCTTAAATCTTAAAAAAAGTTGAGAGTGTGCAAACACACACCCATCTGCTGGTTCACTCCCCAAATGCTTGCAACAGCCAGAAGCCAGGAACTCCATCCAGGTCTCCCATGTGGGTGGCAGGAACCCAATCACTGAGCCACACTGCTCCCTCCCTGGATCCACATTAGCAGGAAACTGGAATCAGAAGCCAGAGCCAGAATTGAACCCAGGTGCTCTGATGGGAAATGCAGGCACCCTAACCGGCGTCATAACTGCTAGGCCAAACACCCCCCCACACACACACACACACATCTTAAAGTGCCAGCTCTCCCAACCCACCCTGCTCCTGGTGGGCAACTCAATCCTTCTCTAACTGGATTTGGTCCATCAAGCCCCGGACAAAGATCTTCAAACAGCCTGGTATCTGTGATTGAAGGAGGGTGCACGTGCGGGTGTGGAGATGATGTGAGGGCCACGCAGCCTTGTCACGCCCCACCTCCGAGTGCGCCGGGCACGGAGCAGCTTCCCACCATCGCCATACAGAAGACAAGCTCTCGGGGGTTAACCCATCACAGAGGAAAGGATTTCTAAAAGCAGCTACTGAGAACTGGAAACGCCTTTATCAGATTTCTTTACGTGGTATTTAATAACCGCAGTCTACATCGGTCACGAGCAACCCCGGAGCGCGGCGAACCGGAGCAGGCCACCAACACTAAACCATTTTATGACGCGTGTGGCGCTACGTCATCCAACAGATAGTCATGACTGCACTGTTTACACCCAAACGGCAAACCTAGCCCAGCGCGGACTCGCTCTTACCGTTCTGTTCATCCAGTTCATTGCCGATCTCCCGCCCCATTTGCTTCTGGCGACTTATGATAGAGGAGAGAGCATCAAGGCCCGCGTCCTGCTCTGGAAGACAGAAAAAAAATACTCACTAAAAACCACAGGAAAACAAATGAAAGCCCAAGGATAGACCCAGGCACCGACCACGGTTCACTACATGATAAAGGTAACATTTTTAAATCAGCAAACGAGAGATGAAAACAGCACTACTGGAACAAAATAAATGAAACAATTAAATGCTTTCCAGCATTAGGGTTTACATATGAAAAATATGATTTGACTTCATAAACTAAGTTTTCTGATATTTAATAAAGAACACACACAATAAGACTTAATATCCTAATTTTTAAAAGACTTGAAAGGCAGAGTGACAGAGAGGGACAGAGACAGAGATCTTCCATCTGCTGGTTCACTCCCTAAATCGCTACAACAGCCAGGGCTGAGTCAGCCCAAAGCCAGGAGCTCTGTCCTGGTCTCCCACATGGGTGGCAGGGGCCCAAACACTTGATTCATTTTCCTCTGCTTTCCCAGGGTGCATCAGCAGGCAGCTGGATGGGAAGTGGAGCAGCTGGGACTAGAACCAGCACTCCCTTACGGGATGCTGGCATCTTAAGTGACAGCTTAACCCGCTGCACCATGACGCTGGTCCCAATACCCTAATTTCTTTTTTGTAATGGGCAAAGGATACAGACAAGAAATTCACAAAAGAATTTATCACTGCTAATTTTTCAATCACACAGATCAACAGGCAATGATAAGGATTTTTTGTTTATAGCTTATGGTTTTGGCAAGGTTTTGATACATAAGATCAACTCAAGAAAGAAGAATCAGAAGCTCTCAAGCACTGTATCCTAGCAGAGTAAGCTCGATTTACCCACTGAAATCCACCCCAAGGACAGACTGCCCTCCTGTTTATATCACCAATGCCAAGCCCTCTAGGAATGGCTGGAAGGGAAGATGTGGGTAGCAGGCAGTGACGGATACAAGGCCACTCCCTGCCCGTCAGCTCCAAGTTCACCACTTCTGATTACTCTGTGACAATGGGTCTGCACCCCTGAAAGCCTTCAATACATCTATTTTTCATCTGAGATGGCTGCCTGGCTCCAGCCTGCTACCCTGGTGTCTCCTGCAGTGGCTGCAGCTTGATCAACATCCGGTGACTTGTGCCAACCTTCCCTGAGCTGGGGCAGCTCTACGACAGTCTCCAGTGAGACGCCCGCCCATAGACGGTTTTGCCTGGCACCCCGGACGGCCAGCACCGCAGCTCAGCGGCTTCTCTGAAATCTGGCGAACCTCAGCTGGGCCTGCTCTCAGGCTGAGAGTCGGCAATGACACCTCAGACCTGCCGTGGCTGTATCCTCTATGGTTCACTTCTGCTCAGGCCTCACACTCTAATCCCCTGTTATACTTCATCATTCTTACAGTAAACTTTCCCTCTCGAATTTCTCTCTCCTGGTGGGGCTCAGGGTGACAAATTTATAATGGTGAAAAATGGGGAACTACCTGAATGCCCAGACGCAGGGATTTGTTTGAAAATTTATAGTTTATCCACATGGTAAACATTAAAAATCGTATCACTCATCTATATTCCGATGCTGAAAAGTTCAAGATACATTAAGTGGGGAGGGGAGGGACAATGCATAATAAAATAGTTTGAGGGTATTTCAAAGAGTTAATGAAAAATGAACTAAAAATTACAATTTGGTACAATTTTTTGAAACCCAGGCATATGAGGCATATTCAAAAAGTTCATGGATAATGCATTTATGAAAAAATGTGCATAGATTTCAGTGTCTTGCACCAAAATAAACCTTTTAATTTGAATTTCCACAGGCCTTTTTTGAAAATATTTTATTTATTTGAAATTCAGAGTTACAGAGAAAGAAGGAGAGGCAGAGAGAAAGAGAGAGAGAGAGAGGGGTCTTCCATCCATTGGTTCACCCCCCAATTGGCTGCAACAGCAGGAGCTGCGCCGATCTGAAGCCAGGAGCCAGGAGCTTCCTCCAAGTCTCCCATGTAGGTGCAGGGGCCCAGGCACTTAGGCCATCTTCCACTGCCTTCCCAGACCATAGCAGAGAGCTGGATTGGAAGTAGAGCATCTGAGACTCGAACAGGTGCCCATATGGGATGGTGGCACTGCAGGCGGCGCTTTACCCACTACATCAGCCCCTCCACAGACTTTTTGAAGTATGCTCCTATTTTTTTTTTAAATGATCTGTAATTATGTTCAAGTTGAATGTATGTGAATGAAATTGATCTCTTTTCATTTCATTGTAGTTTATAAACCTTGTCTATATTTCTGCTGAACTACGTGGTTCTTTTACTTTGTACTTGTTAAACTCCTTATTTAGTGGGGCAGTAAACCTTTGACTATAATGTAAATTTAAAATGTTACCTCAGGGCCGGCACCTCAGCTCACTAGGCTAATCCTCCGCCTTGCGGGGCCGGCACACCGGGTTCTAGTCCCGGTCGGGGTGCCAGATTCTGTCCCGGTTGCCCCTCTTCCAGGCCAGCCCTCTGCTGTGGCCCGGGAGTGCAGTGGAGGATGGCCCAGGTGCTTGGGCCCTGCACCCCATGGGAGACCAGGAAAAGCACCTGGCTCCTGGCTCCTGCCATCGGATCAGCGCAGCGCGCCGGCCGTGGCGGCCATTGGAGGGTGAACCAACGGCAAAGGAAGACCTTTCTGTCTCTCTCACTGTCCACTCTGTCAAAAAAATATAAAATAAAATAAAATGTTACCTCAGAACGAAAAACAAAATAAAAAATGAAAAAGTATGACATTTCTGGCTTTGGAAAATTTAAAAAGTGAGATAAATTCAAGTTACTCAAAATTATTTAAAGTTTGTTTTTTTTTTTTTTAACTAGACAGTCTCAGTCATCTTTTTTAAAGAAGATTGATTGATTTGAAAGGCGCAGAGAGATCTTCCATCCACTTCCCAAATGTCCCCAACAGCCAGGGCTGGAGCAGGCTGATCAGGGTCCAGGAACTCAATTTGGTCTCTCACATGGGTGGCAGGGACCAAGTCCATGAGTGTCACCGGCTCTCTCCCAGGGTGTATCAGCAGGATGCTGGCTAAGAAGTGGAAGTGGGACTTGGTCCCAGGCATGCCAACACAGAATGCGGGCTGCAGCAGCAGTGGCTTAACCTCCTGGCCTCTTTGTAAGGGGTCTCCTTCCCCCTTTGCTCAAGTGCATTGAGAGGACCCCTCTGAGGCTCTAGGGAGTCTTCTCACCCAAGCAATATTCCAGATGAAGATAACACTATGCCAGCTGCAGCTCCATCTGCTCCTGGGATTTCTGAATGACTGTTTCACATCAAAGCCTACCTAGGGAAGCGGAAATCACAAAGATCTTAACTCAAGACCACATTGACATTTGTGCGTGCTTTTTTTCCTGTCTTTCTCTGGAATTAAACCATCACACTTAGCTCTTTAATTCATGTGGGATTTGAACGAATGCTGTGAGGGAAGGACTCCTTAGTGACATTTTTAGATACTAGTTACTTAAAAAAAAAAAAAAACTAGACAGATGACATGCTATCTCTAGGGATCATTTCAAAGAACTATTTTTTATTGCAAAATCACTTTATAACGAGGTCCTTTGGTCTTCGATAACAACCTCCTGGATGGCCTCCAAGATAAATCTATCATCACCCTAGTGATGGCCAACATTGCAGTGGAATCCTAAATGCACTTGAGGGATAATCTATGTGTAGGACTGAGCGTCGAGGGTCAGTGTGAACAAGTAGAACTCAAAAGGGGAAAAGAACATTCCTCCAGCAGTTCCAACTGGGAAAAGGATCGTCCGTGCTGAAACAGCTCTATCTAGCAGAGATGCAGATTATGAACAAAGATGGTCTACATCACGCTCTCGTCCCTCAAACTTATTACCGGGCCTCACCCCCTAAAGGTCACCTCTCTGAGGCAGGGCAGAAGACGATGACTGAAAACTTCTGTTCCACTCCAGTGATTTCTATTGCACTTCCTCAACGTGCTTAAGTGCGGCAATACATTTTCATCCCGTAAGCCAAAGACGTAGAAGAGCAAGATAATCATGACGCTGTGAAGGTCATAATAATTGTCTTTTTTTTTTTTTTTTTTTTTTTTTTACAGGCAGAGTGGACAGTGAGAGAGAGAGACAGAGAGAAAGGTCTTCCTTTGCTGTTGGTTCATCCCACAAATGGCTGCTGCAGCCGGCGCACCACACTGATCCGAAGCCAGGAGCCAGGTGCTTCTCCTGGTCTCCCATGGGGTGCAGGGCCCAAGCACTTGGGCCATCCTCCACTGCACTCCCTGGCCACAGCAGAGAGCTGGCCTAGAAGAGGGGCGACCGGGACTAGAACCCGGTGTGCCGGCGCTGCAAGGCAGAGGATTAGCCTAGTGAGCCGCGGCGCCGGCAAAGGTCATAATAATTGTGGCAATGACATGAGCTCCTCCAAGTCCTCGAGCAAAGGGAGGTGGTAATGGCTACCTTGGAGACAATGATCTCTCTCTCTCTGCCTTTCAAATAAAACTTTAAAACAAAGCTGCTATCCTGCAAAGATATAGAAAATCAATAACCATGCAGGTAGTATAACCAGCAAGACTTCTATGATGCCATAAGGAGAGTTCACTACTGTAACCTGCTCTACTCTATCACGTAGCGACTGGGGTATCACAATAGGTCATTTGTAACCTACCTTATTCTATTAAAAACTCGATTTTACAGTGCTATGGATTTTTAAACAAGGGATGCTCATGGTGGCCTCCCCAGTGATGTCAGTGTCCGAATCCCTGGAGTCTATGAATGGTATCCTACGTGGCAAAAGGGATGTTGCAGAAAGGATAAGGTTAAGGAATCGGGAGATGGGAGATGAGCCTGTACTGTGCAAGAGGACTTCAGAACGTTTGTAGAAAATGGAGTTAAATGCGAGCTTGCTGGCAGGTACTTGGCCTGGCGGTCAGGATGCACATGTCCCGTATCAGAGTGCCTGAGCAGGACACCAGCTCTGCTCCAGCTCCAGCTCCTGCAAGTGAATCCTGGGAGACAACAGCGATGGCTCAAGTGCCTGCCGCTCACAGGAGAGA